TTTCCATAAACCCATAAATTCATCAAAGTTGACGTCTGAACGTTCGGCAACAACACTGCAGCAGCAGTGTATGCTCGTAATGTATACACTGTGTGTTGTTATAATACCTATAGCTACATACGTTTCGTTGTACATAATAACTAATAACTAATAATAATAATAATAATAATAACACGGACGCTATTTCCCGCGCGCCCGCGATCGAGTTGACCGTCGCTCGACGTGTGTGCACGGGGTGGGCTGACTTGAAAAACAAAAAAAAAAAACAACAAAAAGTCGTTACGGCCGGAATCGATTACGCCGCTCGGAAACAATAAAAATCGTCGGCGGGCACTGTACATATACAGACGGCGGAACAATATTGTGTGCTCAGTCAAACACGTCATATGTTGAGAAGAGGGTAGGGGGCAATAGGGGGGTTTTTTTAAGACAATATACGAACAGCAAAATATTGTATTAAATTATGTATAACACTAGGTATGAGGGGAGATACGCATGTCAACCCGTTTCCGAAAACGAAGCAGCGGTGTAACAGACATTGGGCTGCGTACGTGCGGATCGACGTACAACTGTGTATCGTTGGAAAACGGGTTCAAAAAAATAACAAACAAACAAAGTTTCCACCCCCTCGTCGTTTTGTAGTCACCGTGGACGCGATTTCACGCGCTCGCGTATGGTACGGTGCACTGCCGGTATATAATAAACAGCGGACAACGTGATGGGTGGTAGGACTGCTGCTATAGCTGCAACACCGTCATCCCGATAAGTGTGTATTTTTACCGAAAATTGTTTGATCCTTCCGCGATGGTATTTATCCAGAGGTCAAATTATGGTGATGGGAGGTGCAATTGTGGACTCAGCCCCCCTCCCCCCGCCTGTTACTGACTGAGCTTGAAAAGCTGTCATCCGTATCAATTTCTTCAAAAAGTATGCTGGTACAATTGTGTAACCTATAGAACGCCTCGAATTAAAAATTATTATCCATTTTATAATTTTAGCTACGAATAAATGGTTACTTATTAAATGAAATTATTACTATACTAGAGTACCCGATTAAATTTGTTTTGTCATTCCACATTATATTATGTTGGATTATGCGTTTTATTATATTTAATAAAATAATATATATTTGTTATTATATTTTATGTGTAGGCATTAATTAAACTAATATATTATATAACATACATGGTGATGCAACTATGCAAGTTCTAAGTTCTAAATAAAATATCTCTAATGCAACTTTTATGTTTATCAACATTGTTTTATTTTAATAATATACTTTAATTTAATACTCATATTATATGATTTTATATTTTGCTATGTGATCATCACAGAATTTAACTTCTGGAGAAGCACGTAACAAAAATGAGAAATTTGCATGTACATAATAAGTAAATTAATGATACCGGTTACTAATTTAGTGATTATAAGTACTCAGTAACATGAACACAAAGAACCTTACCTTCACCATCGGTTGATACAAAGTAATAAAAAACAAATTTGTAATTAATCCGAATTAAATACTGTTCATTAAGTGGAACATTACACGGAACGCTCAAAATGATATAAATGCATACATATATCTTGATATAAAACTGTTGCAGTACCGCATTTGTCATATTTTTGTGTCAGTTTATTCTCATTTTTTACCAAAATAACGCAACCTTCCGTGGAAAAGATGTTCCTCCTACGTATATTATGAACTACTTAAAGTTACTGCTTATCTATACTCCGGATTGGACGAAAAATGTATCTTTCAGTAAAAAGGATATTGTAATATTTTTTAAATCGGCTAAGGTTTTTGCTTGCGGGCTTACGCACCCATAAACGAGGAATTCTTCTAGGTTACCCTCACAGGTGCTAACCTATTTTGACTGAACGGATTTTTAACCACATACAAACTGCTGCAAGCGCCTATATGTATAATTACAGAAAACCAAATCTAAGTGGTCGACGGTATTCGGGCTACATTTTATCTTTATATGCTTCGTAAACAATATTTGTTTTTATATTACATACTACCGGGCTATCAAGTCATAATTATAAATTATATTTTATTTTAAACGGTATCAGAAATAATTGTTACACTATTGACGTACCTAACAATTTCACTGAGCATAAATTAATTTAATTTTAATAAAACACAATGTTATTTTTAACAGTATATTAAATACTTCATGTAGTGCTGAATAACCGATAAAAAGTTCACAAAAAGTAATATTATGAATACTGAGATGTCATACATAAAAACTTTTTTGAATGGAAAGATTAGATGGAATTTGCAGTTTGAGTTATAGTTTCTGAATGTCAACATTTATTGTAGATAACAATTAATCTGTGAAGAAAATATTCCAACGTCACAAATATTTATAACTTATAGTAAGTGTAAAAATAAAATCTACGAATTTGGTAAATACAATATATATTATATGTATATATAAATGTTTGCAGCTCTCTAATTACCGGGTTAACCTTGTAATAAACTTACATTATTAGTTTAGTTAGTTCCCACGAGAAACTTATACATATTCACTTAATACCATAGAGGCCTATAACTGTTTCCTTTTTTGAAAGAATATTCATTTTTGTGATCCAAAAGCAAGACATAAATATAGTTATTTTGTAGGCACATCTGAGTTGCTTAACTAGGTACCAGAAACAGCTATCACACGATTGAGAATAAAACACATTTTTTAAGAAACGATTGAGAAAATTTGTCGGCATATCAAAGGATATAGAAATACAAAAGAAAACCTTCATGATTGAGCAAAAAAAATTTGCAATGTCGCCATTTACCACAATTTTGAACTACATTATGTACAAAAAATATTAATTTAAATAATTACAATAATACGTTCTATGTGTATAAATATACATACACTGCTACACCTATAGGCTATATTATAAAGGTATTATATATATATATATGTGAACGTATGCGTATATTATACGCTGGTATAGTGATTTTCCATACAGAATATTCCTCAAGGAATGTTTCGGTAAAAATGGAATATTCCGAAAAAAAAGTTAATATATACGAATACGACAAACATTAAAAATCTAATTACTGACATATTTTAAGTGAACCTTGAATTAGACTTAGTATTATAATATTATATTGTACGTGGATAAGTAATTTTTTTTAAATCACCAAAAAAATCTTCATAATATGTTATCCTTTATTATTTTTTCGAAAAAAAAAACAATTGTTCGGCTACTTATAAGTTAAACTATAAATATTGAAACATAATAATATTACAAGAAGGCAGAAAAGTATATATTTATGTATTTGTGATTTAGAAATTAAAATGTTTCCTATAAGCTGCAGCAGTGCTGGGAATATTCCATGGAATTTCCAGTTCAAATTTCTCGAGGAGTAGCATTTTTTCAATTTTACAAGCTATGAAATTTTGTTCGTGACCAATAATTATGATGATCGTCCATAATAATATTTATTGTATAATCTAACAGCAGTTCAGGTCCAACTCTTCTCACCGTTGCCTTTGTTTTACGGCCTATATTCTTCGATCTTTACTTTGATCTAATGATCTATAACAGGGATGAAAAACTGGTGGCCCGTGGCCCGCATATGGCCAGCTAGCATTTTTTATAATTTTTCAATTTTATGAGCAAAATAAATGCTAATTAAAATATATATTTTGAATGACCCCACCTTTTTTTTTCTTTCAATGTTCTGGCCCGCTAGATTTTAACCGTCGAGAAATCGGCACTCTAGTAACTTTGAGTGGCCCGTCCCTGATCTATAATATTCATATTTATATCGAACAAAATAATACACTAATATCGTATATTATATTATAACACCTGCAAATCCGCATGCAGAGTTTAAACACAACAATACCCATGTATGATATTCAACTACGTCCGACCATATAATATTATTATTTATTATATTATTGTATTATATAATATTTTATTATATTATATCATTATAAATAATACAAATCACGAATCGCCATGCGCACGTTTCACGGGCGATTAAACCAAACGTCATCACATCGTGTCGTCCGGCCACACGCTTCACTCGAGTTTATCGCTGACACAATTATATGTCATTATTTGTCGGTACAACAATACGTCATAAATACATCGGCAGTCACTTTTCGGACTGTCCCTCACATTTATGCGCATACCTACGACTGTTGGACTGCACTTACCTTTATAGGAAGGCAATATCAAAATGTTCGAAAATGCACTCGACGTGTAACCGAAACAGGTAATTTGTCCACACCTTACTCGATCCGATCAATCTTTATACTTTGGTCATACCCTTATTTCGTACATTTATAATATTACTATGTATATTTCGAGGGAAAACAATAGATTTTGGATATTTAAAATAGAAATTATTTTTTCGACCGAAAAATGAACAGGTTAGAGACTGGTAAAGAGTGCAATATTATATTATCCTGTCATTACCTTTTCCTGTCCCGAGTGCAATTCGACGAAAACAAGTCGAACGGTAACTTACCATTCCGCAGTACGATATTAATATTATAATAGTATCGCCAACCACCGCACGCCGCACGCGAACGTCGTCATCCGCACACTCGAAAAAGTAAAAGCATCAGCTGCCGAGAGACTTAAATAACGGACGACGACTACTAGGTATACGTGTCATTGTAGTATTTTCTAAGGCGAGTATAAGATTTTCGGACAGCACAACCTTTTCATAAATTGAAAAACGACTGTGGTCTTTAGGTACTCGGCAGCTCTGTACAACACGCGTCATCGGCCGGACGAGGAGGACCCGTCGACGGCACAACAATACTTTGCCGTTCGAGCGGTCAGTTTCGATCGTCGTCTTTGTAATAGTACTTATAATATTATGTACGGCGACAACAATACGCACTACTACACACTGCGCAATAAAGGAACGAAAACGTAAATGTATTATAAACACGTATCGACGACGATTTTATTAGTATATATAATGTACATGATATAATAATATATAATATAATAAAATACTCGAAATATAATCTTACATATACTATTATATATTGTATGAAAATAATGTACAATGTTTTTTTCAAGAACTTATCTCTAACTCTTTATAACTAAATAATAGTATGCACATTATGCACCTTTTTAAGAAAAAGAAGACATCTTTAGTGTAAAATTATAATTTAATATAGTACAATTTATAATTATAGGTACGCGTTATAAGTTTTACTTTACCGTTAGAATTTAGTTTTGTATACTTACAATAAAATAATAATGATAATATTTTCTAATTATAATAAAAATAATAATAATAATAATAATGATAATAGTTTAATAATATACAAATTACATAATTCAATATTGATATATTATAATAAAATGAAAATATGTTCGGGCATAGTTTATATTGCTGCGGATCGGATGCGCCGAGAGAAAACACTGCAGTAACAATACAATTGCAGTAAGGTCAGAGGAAGGGAAAGGGGACGAGTTTGAAAACGTAAAATCATAATCGACATCATCTTCGCATTTAATGCACCCTGCCACACATGGCGTCCATTTGGGACAGTTGACCGAAGTACGGATATCCGGACTTGGCTTCGCTAGCCGAGTGTGGTGGAGCCAAATTGGAACCAGACCCGTATATGGTGTTGCCGCCGGCGAAGAACCTGCGAAAAAAAACATGAAATTACATGTCTGAAATCTAGAGCACGAGGTCGAAGTGTGATCAAAAGGTTAATAGTAATAATTTATAGTCATTTATTATAAAAATACAAGATTTTGCACTCAAATGTACCGAAAACCCAACTCCTTTAAAAGTCCTAATACTCGAAACCTCGTACGTAAGTACCTACGCACATCAAATCTGAGTTCAGAAGTACCCACCAAGTACCTATTTTTAGTTAAGCAATAACTTATTATAATTTATTTATATAGGTAGTGAATTGGTATTTAATGTTTATAAATTTAAAGTTATGTAGTGCACTCCCGAGGCTAATTTTGATATTTTAATTTTTTTTTAACTGTGTAAAATTATACAAATTTAAAATCCTCATAACTTCTTTAAAAATGTAAATGTCAAGAAAACGTATATGAAAGATGTATAATTGTTACAGTCACCATTACATTAAAATTAAAGACGCAAGTGGCTCCCACCGCAGATCACAAAATATTTGTTATACTGTACGTTTGTAAATTATAAGACGGAGAGAAGTAGTCAATAAACAACACATGTCGGGTGTAATGTCTTATTTATGAGATCATGACAGTGGTTATAGTATTTTATTAATGACTTTATTTTTTTATGCAAAGGATAATAATGTGTTACACATTTTCAGTAAAATAAACGATTCATTATCCAAACCGAACTATTAGAACGGGAATTTTATAAGTACCAACCTAATAATAGAAAAAAAATACACTAAGTCCGGTATATTGTAATACAATTTTATTAGTCAATACATCGCGTATGACCTGGCCAGGACTACTTTACATTAGTAATAAAGGGGTTATCAACAACCAAATGTTGATTTAAATTTTTCATTCTGAGCACCCAAATTCATCCAAAATCTAAAAATCTTATTATTTCACGGAGGGAAACCCCTAGTCGATAATATTATCGAGAGCGCCACCAGAGTCGTCGTCGCGAGTTTCTGCAGATCGTACTATTCACATACGATATAGGTAAATATATTATAACAATTGTTTTGATATCAGCCGCACACGCTCGGAATTCGACGAGAAACCATTATTTTCTCAGTGGAGGTAAAAAAAAAAAACAGAATTCGGAAAATCGACGCTCGTCGCTGCACAACATAATACTATTATATTATATTATATTATATTATACACGCAGGTAGGTATTATACGATATAATATAATATTATATTCTCGACAACTGCATCGCCGCCGCACAGCGTAATGAATGCGAACCGGAGGGCTTCTGAAGAGATAATTTTTATTTTTTCGTTCTAATGAATTACATACATATAGGTATATGCGCGCGCGGTGGTCATTATTATTATTCCATCGCTCGGCGATGAGCACACGCGTGTATATTATATATATATATATATAATAATATAATATAGTCGATTTGTAAAAGTCACCGGTTACCCGCGAGACTGCCCGGGCAACAGACCGACTGCCGCAGCATGGGTGGTAATACACACGGAATCTAATGACAAGTGCTTTTCAACTGACCGATCGAAATGAGGGGAAATATTATGTTTAGTATAAACCTACGCTGCGATGTACGCGAGTTGCAGTACTTATATCTACACGTGGTAAAGAGAGAAAAAAATGTCATTATCTTGATTTATCGGCTTTAATCCATTTCATACGCGGCGGCGGTCCGTAATTTCTCCGGCAAACCATATTAATTTCTGACCATAACTCACGAGTGGTGGCGGCGACGGCAGTGGCGGCGGCGGCGGCAGAGGTGGTAGTAGAGGTGGTTAAAAAGAGTAGTAATAGTAATAAGGGGAAAAAACGAAACAAATCACGTGTAATCTAATTAGAAATTGTTTTATTTAAGTTTAATAATGTAGTGACGCCGCCGCCGACACGGCAGCCGACGATAATTGTTTTCGTCCCTTGTTGTAAGCACCGTAATATTATATCATTATACAAGTCAAAACACAGCTCAAGTCTGATTAGATATTTTACTCGGTATATAATTATATTATAGTGCTGAAGACACATAATATGAATGCATGCTGTCTCACTTTATATGTCCCAACCATAATCATTTCTATTTATCAGTGGCGGATCGTCAGGTGAGGCTTCAACTCCACAGAGGGAAGGAAAAAAAATGTAAATCCTTATTGTCTTAACATTTCTTTGAATTCGATCAATATTATAGGCACTGACGAATTGCAGTTAATTGTCTATAACTATTTGCATTGTTGGTACAATATTTGATTAATCAAATAAATCCCGAAAATTATAGATACGTGCAGATAAGACAACAACTGTAACGCCTCAAAATACGAGGGAGGGAAGGCAGTAAGAAAATACGTAATAATAACATGAGGCAGAAGAAAATATGATGCCTCACAGCCCACCCATAGGTATAGGTACGATAATAAATTTGTGGATTAGTTATAGTAATTAGTAAATACGAAGAAAATTGGCGTATAGCTGTAATTAGATAAGAATTTATCAAGTCGATTTCTGTGTGGTATGAACATTACAAGAATGTGTTTTGTAGTTACGATCAGAAGGAAGTACATAATGTTATGGAGAAACAGAGTATTCCTAGTGTTTGTAATGTTTGCTCACCACTGTATACCTAAAAATCAACGATCCACCACTGGAGAAATGTTTACAATATAAATGTATAGTTATTACCTAGTCATTATTATTACGTAATAATAATGACACAAAATCTATCAGATATGCTCGACATAATAACTCAGTACTGCTGCAGGTACAATAAAATATAAGACAATTTTTTTTCTCTGGTTTCGTATTGATAATATATATATATAGGTAACGAAGATGTTGTTAAGTACTCACGAGTAATTGTCTGGGCTCCAAGTAGCTGCGGCTGTCACGTCCTTGTTGGACTTTGTCCATCCCAACGAATGATGGTCGACCGCCGATCCCTGCGGTGAATACGAAGCGCCACCGTTGTTGTTGTTGTTGTTGTTGTTGTTGTTGTTGTTGTGCTGGTGGTGCGCGTGGTGCGGGTGGTGGTACATGGCGTCGGCGGACGTGCCGCCGTTCACGCCACTGCCAGGCCCGTAGTTGCAGGACGTCGCAGGATAGTATCCAGTGGCGGCGGCTGGCCACGTGCCGTGGGAAGTCCCTGCGGAAGCAAAAATGATGGGAAAAATCAGCGGGGTGAAAAAACTGCGGCGATGGGGGTAGTTGTGTGCGTAAAATGGCCGGGGCGCACTCGGCGCGGGGTCGGACGTTGATGGCATATTATATAATATAGCGCGTTATATAGGTGACGATGACTAGGGGAGCGTAAAAATGGCATCGTCGTTGCCCTAAATATTTAATATATGCATGTGTAAATATAACGCTTTTTCTCATCCCCCTCTCACCCCCTATAACACATATTATATTTCTACATAATATTTCATACGATGTACGGACGCAATGATGGCCGCTCATCGCTCATATTACATTTTATCGTCATAATATGTTATTATTGTTCATTGTCGCCGTCGTGTGTTTGCGCGCGCCGCGAGAGGAATTTATATAATATTATATTATATTCGCTCGCACAATGAAATAGCACGCGTAGGTACCCACGCAATTTCGTTTACGGAATTAAATGAGAAATAAAAATCGCACTCCTCACGATGAGCGTCCCCGCGTGTGTGCTTATATTATAATACCTACCTATATATAAATGTGTATACGTGCCCGGACGGTTTCGTATAATTTCCGGCCCGGTTCGTGTTCGGTCGTACTATGTATAATGTATATATATATACGTATATGAGTACTATGATCGCGAGTTCACCTCTCGCGCTGGCCCGAGCACGGTTATTATTACGGCGGCGGCGGTACAAGTCGAAATTACGGCCAAACTTCAAAGAGTGTATAAAATGTATAATATTATACCCATTAAAACATTACCGCGGTGTGTATTAATCGTCGCGCACCGTGTAATTTCCGTGATGGCCGCTCGCGCCCGCGCAGTATATTAACGTATGTATATATAATATATAATACCTATACACTAGCGTCATATTATTCCCAAGCGTGTGTGTGTGTGCGCTTGGCGTATTGGGCTCAAACAAATTGTTGCTCTATTAAAATGAACTAAATGTGCACTTGATAGTGCAGTTATATGCACCTCTGCAGCGAGGCTTTATGCGAAATTGTGCACGTGTTATATTTGTTTGCTATAGTTCTTCGATATGCGCGGCGCGAGTTCTCACAGAAAAAAATGAGTGAGATTTACTTTAAATTTATAGGTAAGTGTACTAAGAGATATTTTGACATGGCCATCTGCAGCAATGAATAGAATCTTATATCAATGAGTCTTAATCTTTTAACAGCTGATATACATTTATGCATTAAAAACGTTTGATGTATCGGTCGAAAGGGAAGTGAATTAATTTATGTACCTTGCCTGATCTAATAGAAAAAAAATCATGAAAACTCTCAAAAGCAACAATTATGTCGTAGAACCCTTGATATGATACCACCGAAGGGAAAGTATAAAATAGCCGTAGGTGTGCTTACCTTGGGGAGAATTGAAGTTTGACGCGGCGGCGGACGAGTGATGATCGTGACCGCCATACTGGCCGTGAGCTCCGTGTTGGCCACCGGTCGGGGACTGGAACGAGCCGGCCGAGAGGCTGACGACCGCCGCTGCCGGGTTGAACGCTGCCGCAGCCGCGGCGTTCATGTGTTGGTGCGTGCCCATCTGCTTTCTGAGGCGAGCCCGGCGATTGCTGAACCACACTTGCACTCTGGCCTCGGTGAGTTTGGTTCTGGAAACAAAACAGAACCGCGGTTAGTACCAATACACAAACTGTATGAGATTATGTTGTGTAAAGAAATATTTATTCAATGTTCGTCCATCATCACGTCGTATTACAGCTGGGAAGTCATAGCATATTATAGAGCATATATAAGTTATAAGAATTGTTCATTACATAGAACTCATAAATTGTAACGTTGACCAGAATTTAAATTCTATACCATATAGTTCGTTGAATAACCAACCCCCAAGTCTTTAACATTTTTCAAATATTTCAAAGAGGCGTTATACGGATATAATATGAGTTCAAAAAATACAAAATGTTGGAACGTGTGTACGCAGCAGTTCAGGAAGACGATTCGGTCGGAATTTCACAACGTATATATAGTCACCGTCTAAGTTAGGCATGCACGTTACTGACCTCCTCTCGTCTGCAGAATGATATGTCCGAACGACGTATGCGTAATAATAATTACCACTATAGGTAAGTAATGAAAACAAAAAAAAAACCATAATCAGCGACACGTTTCTCGACACCGGAAAAACACGACATGGATATTATTCTTATGACGTGTGTCTGTCTGTCTGCGAAATTGCAGTTTGAAAGTTTCCACGAACCCCGAAAACCCTGTAAAGACCTCAGTCGCACGCCGTGACCTCTGTGTCGTAGTTGCTGTCGTCGTATTATACAGGCGGCAGAGTATATTATACAGAATGCGGATCGTGAGATAGTCGCGGTGGCGGCGGCAGTTATGATATTCACTTTCACTGAGTCGCGTCAACCGGCAATTACCACCGCGCACACACATTTTATATGCATGTATACGTGCCTAATAGATACCCTCCCGAATATCGTTTCGATGAATCACCATTACGCCCCTTATTCGGTTTGTTTTATTACGTGCCCCTTTCCTTCGTGTGTTTAAAATAATACAGGGTTATGAGAGGTATAAGATGTGATGTATGATGAATGATGCCGTGATGTTAGCACCAAGAACTTTGCAGGATTCCCCTCTCCGACACTATTTTATTAATATCATTCACTCCTATTTTTATGTCTAAGATTTGAACGCATTAATATTTGGTTGATGGATTGTTAGAATATGATTTTAAGTTAGATGTATTGATAGACCCCCAAAGTTGAATGCCATAATAGCAGGGGTACGACATTCTCACAAATCTTCATGCTATTTAAAAAAAGTGGGGACGTGGCCTTGAACTCATGGGCACTACCATTTTGTTATTTATGAGATTCAGCCGACGGCTCATATCATATATTTCAATAATTGATAGTTGAAACATGATACCATTATGATAACACAGAGAAGATAATAAATTATATGTATTCACAGATATATATGTTTATATATCTGTGTATGTATTAAAAGTACGTAAGCAAGCAACAACCGTTAATTGTAAAAAAAACGTTCATAACAACACTCCTAAACCACCAGGTAATCATTTACAACATCAACACTAAACCCCTAGAGATCGTCCACAAGGCAGAGTGTCGCTTCTATATTGTTCTGTGATAATAGTTCATTAAAACACGAATGAACTATGTCTAAAGACAGCAAAGTCTTAATTTATAAACGTCGAATTGTTTGGACTACTATTCCGTATCAGATTATGAAACTTGAAAAGATATATACAGCAGGTCACCATTTTCTAACAAAATATTCATACCAACATGATAATTGCTCCTCTTTCAAACATAAGTGGTAATTCACCAGCGCCAATAATGATTGAAAAGCGTTAGAAGCGCCTTATAACCTCATCGCCAGGACAAAAAATCCGTACTTTTGTGTTCATAATTCAAAATAAAATGACATGACTTGTCTATAATGTTTATAAAAAATATCTTACTTTTGGGCCAGCTCTTCTCTGGTGTACACATCAGGGTACTGGGACTTGTGGAATGCGCGCTCCAAGTCTTCGAGTTGCTCGCCGGTGAACGTGGTTCTGCTCCGGCGCTGTTTGCGTTTCAAGTGGAAACCAGGTTCCGATTCAGTGTCAGAGTCGTCAGCGCTGCTCGGACCTTTGAACAGAACCGAAAAAGACGAGTTTAAATGACCGTACACACATCATGACATTCGCGAGCCTTCAATTTATTATAATAAGTTCATATTGTTATAGAGTTGTGTATAATAAAATTGCAGTTATATTATTTATCTTATAAAACTTAATTTTTCGCACAAATGATATTATGTACTTTCAATATTTCTGGCGCTTATAGTCGCATATAATATAGCACGTAACATTTGGTACACCATATGGTATACTGCAGGGTGGCTTGTGGTGTTGTTCCGGGAAATATCGTCAGGTCACCTTGTATACGTATATATTGTGTGTAATAAATTAGGTACTTATAATTGTCACAGAATTGTCTATACTAAATCGTCTAAATCTGAAGAATTTCCTACCGGCTACGAACAACTGTGAGCTACTTGCAAATTTCTATCATGCTGATATGTGCATTTACCTAATATTATATTGTATGCACGAATAAGCCACGCGGGACCGAATATACTTTATACATATAATATATATTATATATTATTTTATCGCCTGACCGTGCGTAGACATACAACTCATATTATATATAATATATAATATATAATATATAGGTGCATACTTATTATTTATGTTTTATTATTGTTATACGTGCACATGCGCCCATTACGAATATAACGAACGATCGCCATAAATCCTATGATATACACATATACTACCCGTACGGACGTGATATTATCATAATATTCCATATGTTTTGTATTATATTATGTACTAGGTAGGTAGGTACATACTAGAAATCCCCATAGTAATATATTATAATATGCGATATGCAAATGTTAATAAGCCCGCGAGTTGATTGATTTCACGTCTCGCTGTTTGACAGTGTTAACAAATACTGTACGTTCAATCACTCGTCGCCAGCAGTGTATTATAATAATTATTATATTATTATTGTTACCGATATACCTACCTACCTACCTACCTATATTCCCTCATTTGGAACGGTCGCGAGCGTCCGGGAAATCATTTAACTTCATCTAACACGCTCCGGGCACAAAACTATACGGTCGTCGAGTGTTCGTCGAGTTGGTACACGCATGATAACCAGTGTGTGTGTGTGAGTGTGTGTGTATGTCGGGTATCTTCTCTTTTACCCGTTTTCGAGTAATTACCCAACCCCAAGCCGAGTCCGGTTCCGCGTCTTATCTACGAGAACGATTTACATAATAACCAATGTCGAGTATACCGGCCCATACCACCTATATATGTTATAATAATATTGTAATACTAAATACTAATGGCGATAAAAATAAAAAAAAATCGAAAAAATCTCAACCACCGAATCTATTATTAAAGATGATACCGCCAAGTGTTGGGCGGCCCGGAATCGTCGAAATCGTAAATGTGCGTGTGATGTGTATATAATATTGTCGGGTCGGCAATAAAACCACTGAGACTCAGATATGATGTAGCAATTGCAGCGTATATATTATTATTATTAGCTGGTATATTATTATTAGGTAAGTATATACACGCGCGCGCCGCCGCCACAAAACGACTGCCGAGTACAAATCGTATTACGACGACTGTAACATTAATATAAACCGCGATATGTGCATAAAGTTGGCGACCGAGGGTTTCGATTGATTTATTCCGATTTAGACCGGTTGGCAGATATTATTAGTCCGAATGTATTGAATGGTGGAATTGACACTTTTCACTTGAAGGGAGCTTTATAACCTTACCGCCTGCATTTTGGCCCCTGCTGAAATATGTGTAGCCATATTATACAGGTAAAGTAAATAAATAAATATTAAATGATGATAATAATATGTTTTTTTCAATGTTATAAATTCTTATTAACATCGTAAAGCTTGTTGTATAAAAAAGGACTAAATCTTCTCCGGACGACTTAATCCCCTCTCCCCCCTATATCCCCCTATATAATATATATATATATATATATACATATAAATCGAAAATCTAAATTCACTAGTGTTTTCCTGCACTGAATAATATTATTAATTCGTGAAATCGTATACCATCATCCTTGTTTGACACCGTTATAACACAGTTGACGCACACGCGAAAACATTAACGCTAGTGTATCTGCAGCAGCACATAGCTGCTTATTAACACTACAAAAAAGTAGTCTTAAATTACTTCTGACGATTTTATAGATAGGTACTTATTATATTATAGAGGCTCAAGTGTACAACCGAATATTCATATTTTAAACAACGTGCGGCTTAAATATCGCGTCTCGGCGGAATTATACAAAAATTACTGGTTATGTATTTGTTTTTGATATATTTTTTATTTGTTTTTTTTAAACACGTTTGAAAATAGTCAGCTTGTAATGCGCAGTCTGCATTCATTATTCTAAAAAGTCATTACTTATTTTTAATTTACGGATCACTGTCGTACAAGGGTAGGCATAACGCATATAGTTAGTCCACTGCTCCGCTCCTCTAACCTTTAAATAATTATAGGTATCTAATTAATTACTCGTTCAAAAATTGACTTTCGTGTATATCGAATACCTACTCCGAAAAATATTCTCCTTAAGCGGTTAGAAATATGAAATTAAAAATGATTGTTGTCATTCTAAAAAGTAAAAACTTAAGCATTTATATTACGATAAGAAATTGCAAAAAACGTAATGTTTTTTTATATTTATAAATAATTATTTTCGTTTTGCAATGACATAATGTCATATAAAAAAAAAATGTTTCAAAAAGTCAAAAGTTTTTTGAATTTTGAGTATAGACATTGACGAGTACACCTGCATATGAATCAACTTTTTTAATATGCGCATTCATATAAGGTCAACGGATTACATACATATATATATATTATCATTAATTAACTGTATTGTTTAGGTTCTTTATATATAATAGAGTTTATAATCGACATTGGCTACCGGTAGGTATATTAGATTATTACGATCATTATCCATGAATATAATGGCGACATGTCAATTCATACTTTGGTGATATAATTTCATTGTTGACACGTATTACAACTGAAAAATGTACTATACCCTAAAGGAATATGTAGATTTTTTTAACTTCAGTCGAAGGCGTCGCTACTGCAATTTACAGTGATAATTCATAAACGTGATACACAATCATAGATTTATTGCGGGAAAAAATTTAAAAAAAAAACTATTTACATGCAAAATGTATTATAATTTATAATATTATATTTATCCTGCAATATTATATAATATAGATGAACAAGAAATCGCGGCTCGAAAATATTACTAGCACTGTACGATAATCAGAAAAAAACGGATGTTTATAGTAGGTGTACACAGGTGCACGTATTTATTATTTATGAGGAGTGTAACGATTTAATCTTGTGGTGTATTATTTTTCAGACATTATAATATTATGTTAATAACAACAAAGCTTTTCGTTTTTATTTTTTTCAATAAAACGCTACACGTGAGAGGCACGCCTTTTATCCGAGGTGGTAAATTTTTAAATTTTTTTCACGGGCTTATCACATATGGAATGAAATAAACAACAATACCATATTATATAGTGCATTTGAATAATATGTTGTATCATCAGCAACGAATAGCAGAGTATATAATACAATAATATATACGCCGAACAGCAGTATATGAGCATCGTCTGCATCACAATCCGATAAAAGCACCAGTGTACCTATATTGGCGGCGGCGGTGGGTAGCGATTAAACTGGGCTAATAACTCGCGAGTGTGTTGGCGAGTTGACATTAAATCCAATATGTAAAATAATAATAATAATAATGTAAGGTGTGCGGGCCAGCCAGCTTTGAAGGAGAAAAATCCATTTTTAAATTACGGCGAATTAAACGGGTTTTACGTGTCGGCAAGCCTTTTACATTAGGGGACACCCCGCGGAGACGGGTTCTTCTGAAGCTGCCGATGTCCGTAGATATAAAAAAAATTATAAACGTCACGTTTACCGAAAAACTCGAGTCGTTCTCGTTCGATTTTCATTACATAATTATAATAATATCTAGCTGCAGTCGTAGCTGTATTATGATTATGATTATTATTGTTATTGGACGAATCCGAATAACGCGTTAGAATAATATTATATATAGTGATGATAATATCATGTTAAGACTTTATTAAAAAAAAAATAACTCCCAAAATTTAAAATAATATTACATACGTCATACAAGTGCGTGTATATATTATATATGTAGCACCTTATTAAGGTGTATACCTGTGCTTCGGAGGCATATGCGACAGAGTACAATATATCTCATGTATACCAATATATACCTAATAATATGTTGGAGCAGTGTATATACATATAGTGGTATAGTCGCGGCCGGTGTATTATATTATTATAATATGGTCGTAAACGCCCGTGTTCGACCACCCCGCGTATACGAGTATATAGGTGATAAATATTGTAATGCAGTGAATTTTTTTTTTGTAGAAAAGTGTTAACCAAAACCCCTGTGGTAGCAAAACCCTTGGTGGTCGCCGCCGTGCGATTCTCACACGCACTTCACGCGAGGCTTCGGACACGCCTTTCGCTATTCATAATAATAATATATTATAGCATTATGCATTATTCTTTCACCGCTTTCTTCGCCCCTTTCTCATTTTTTTCTCTCCTTTTTTTTCGTAGTCCGTTCATGACAATGGTTTTTATATCCTTTCGGCTAACGGTATTCCCTCCGGTAGCCATCAAGTAGCCAAAGCGCATATACCTACTTATGATATAACGCTGTGGTGATAGAGTTGAGACGTAACAATCGGCGAGGGTGGACGTTTAGGTAGTTTTTTTCCTTCTTCCCTTAAAACCCGTTATTTACGCATTCATCTTGTCCGCAGGTAGGTAGTAGGTACCTACTCAGCGCGCGTGTTTTGTGCGGTTTGCGGCGATATAGGTATAATATATTATAAATAGAATATAGCCATTATTTATGTATAGGTACAGATTATATACACGTATACAACAGAATACAATAATTACGCGAGCATAGATCATCATACGAGACTTACCCAAAATACCGTCGATTGAATGGTTTTTCAGCTCGTCTCTTCTACCGCCGCGCAGTAGTCGGCTGATGGAACTGATAGATGGAGCGGAGTTTTTGTCACAAATGCCATCCTGCTGGGATAATAAGAAAAATATTTATATTTTTAATACGCCTAAAAACTAATATATTCATATAGGATATAATACAAATAAAAAATCGGCTTTTCTTCATCGAGTACTAATGTGTACAGATTTTATATTAAAAAAAGAAATAATTAAGTTCCTCAAAACGTGAAAATATTAAAGTCATATCAATATTCATTATAAAAATATATAATTCCCCTATTTATTGTTACTTTTACAAGTGTTATTAAAATCTTATACATATATAATTATTATAAAATGCTACTTTAGAAAACACAGTGTATCTACCTATTATTATAAGTAATATACATAATATGGCACTATATACATATACAACTATACACAATAATACAGAGTGAAAGTTAGTTAAAGTTAATCCTTTTATATTCAAATTATGAATAGACTTAAATAGTCAAATATATGCTAACTAAAGACTCAGATAAAGACTATTACGTCATATAGCAACCTGCAGGTACTACCTATACACTACTTCTGGTATTTAAAATTTTTTTAAATCTATACCTATTAAAATATATTCTTTTTTTAATCTGAAATCTCAGTTATATTGCTGAATTTCATCTGATAAAATATATTATATATAAATATTCAAATGGTTGTTCTTTATTATTCATTAATTTTAAGTCATACATTATACTCGTATATATCTAATATCTCAATGTATATACTTATATTGTTTGGAATATAATATTCCAATTATTAATATGTATAGTTATATAATATCTATTATTTTCAAATAATTTAATTACTTCATATATTGACTACAAACTCGTGTACGGAGTATATAATACAAGGTACCTAATATATAATACCTATAAACGTTGACATTATTCTGATACAGTATTATTATTGCAAAGTCTCGTTGATATCTAGAGACTTTAACGGAAGTGAATACATTCTATTTAACACGTTATATGTATTTCATTCTGTAATTTTTTCTAACAAATAATTATTATTTGATAATATACGTATGCCTAAATAGGTACACAACGGGAAAACAGATCAATAATATGTACCATAAACGAACTTAAGATACCTATTATAATTTATTGAATCCTGTAATAATAACCATCCACCCACTATATACCTATACAGCCCACTATATAATATGTTTTGAAATATCGGGAAGCAAACTGTTTCTGTATCACCCCATTTGTTTTGCCTTTGCAGTAAATAATGTATATATATACAAGTTTCGAGTTATCTTAATACATATATATGTATATTATACTTATATATAAGGAAAATACATTAATATAGGTACCTATATACGTATAATTTAATAATAATAGTCTTTATATCGGTCACGTTTAAGCAAAATATTTTAAGTCCAATGCTACAATTAGGTATAGTATTTTTTAAATGAAGTGGATCCACGGAATAACATTTAAAAGTTTGTGCAATCTTAGAATAATCTAATTATAGCCTCATTTTTAAAATTGTGTTTTTGCAGGATGTTTTACGAGAACAGGGGCGATAAAAGTTGATGTGTATATTTGGAGCATTCGACAATGTTATTAGTTATGTACACTTAAATTGTATTTTAATTTGAATACAATATGTCATATTATTATATACTCTTATAGATACCACACCTTTACCTATACATAATAACATAGTCATATAAATGTAAACGCACCTTTACGAGCTTGTCGCGGATCTCCCAGCTGAACATGGCTGGGTTGGCCTTCTTGTACTCCTCGATGCGCCTCTCCACATCCGGCGTGGCCACCCTAGGCTTGCTACCACCGATCACGCCGGGCCGTATGCTTCCGGTCTCTTGGTACCGGTTGAGTATTTTCGACACACAGCCGTGCGACACCCTGAGCTGCCGAGATATGACGCACGGGCGTACACCGGCCGCAGCCATTTCGACGATCTTCAGTCTGATGTGGTTGGGAAGCGGCCGACCGTTGATGAACACGCCACCGAGCTGGTTCATGCGGCCTTGGCCTGTATTGCGCGCCAAAAAACGAAGATGTTTAGAAGACTTATAATAGGTAGGTAATATTGGTATAGGCATATTAATATATGAATGGATGCAGGGTAAAGAAATTCTGGTAATTAGCTTATAATTATACAATTATAGACAGATATACCCATCATAATATTATATTGGTATATTTGGCAAGGTGAGGGTGCTTAAATCAAGTACAGGTATATATAGAATACTAAAATTATATAAATTATAATATGTCACAAGAGTGTGGTGTGGGCCTAAAAATATTGTAATTTTTCTTTACCTTGAAATGGGTATCCGGTGAAGTAGGGAGTCATATTCAACGTGGACACGGACATCGTGAGGTTTTCCAAGTATCGTTTATTGCGTAGCGAACCAAATGAATAAATTATGAATGAATGAACGAACGAAAAACGATAACGATAAAACGAATGAACGAAAAAATAATAACCGAATGAAAAATTAAATCAAATAAAAATATGTTTACACAAATGTTTGTGTGTGTGTGTGTGTTTGTGTGTCGATAACATTTACCACTGCGCGTCGCGAATGGAACTCGCCCGATGACCGCAAAACGTACACTACCGCCCGTGTGTCGAACACTGCTCCGTCGGTCGGTGCGTCGGCGGCGGCGTGCACCGACCCGCCCGCCGTATGATCGACGCGGAAACCGGTCGGGCGGCACGCTCTCATTGGTCGACGGCGTCGCTATAATGGGCGTGTATTGCGCGCGCCGTTCCCTCAGCGTGCGATTGTTATGTGCAAACTACGCGTCATTATAATATTATTATTGTTATTAGTATTTTAATATGCAAACACGCGATTGTCTTCGAAGTTGAATATAAAAATTAAAAAATGTGTGTAGGGTCTATCATATTATAACGATTGAGTAAATCATGATAAATTGCATATACATTCAATGGTATATAATGTAATATGGGTACATAGGTACATTAAACGTGTTAAATCTATGCGTGTGGTTTGATATACCTATATTTTCTATATATAGAGCAAGACATGCCTTAAGTCTTAAATACTTTATAAACAATATAAACACTATACACCATCACATATTATACTTATTAGTTATTGTACCATTATAACATTATAATAATATCTTGTAATATTATTCGATGTATATTTCCACACTTATGTGCAGTGGCGTTCAGAGGTATTTTGAGAGCACACGCAACTAACAAAATTTACCCACCCACCCATTTTTTTATTTAAAAAAACTTTCTTTTGAACTGTTACTAACTGTTAACCTATACTTTATCTAGGTACCTATAAACATAGGCGTACCTACCCACCACGAGAGCACATGCAGTTGCACCCCTTGCTAACCTATCTGGGCGGCGGGCGCCAATGTTTATGTGTCAATGTACAATAAATAGGCTAGGTACCAGTTATTGTTCATGCCTTTTAAGTTTAAAATAAAATTTTTACTCAATATATATAACATTGATTGCTTGTCGGACTTTTTTTTCTTAAATGACTTTACGAATATTCTTTTTCTTTTTTTTATTGATCGTTACAGCTTCGGCAGCATAGGCCATTAGCTTATGAGTTTTCCGAATATTTTGTTTATATATCTAGCTTTATATATTATTTTATCTATTCGTTTTGAAATAGTTATTCAAATTTAAAACCCATAATACTAATATATTACACGCTATGTAGCCATGTAGGTATAGCTCCTGTAAATTAGACGCACAGGTTTAGGGATCGTCGAAGAACGATCGTCACATATATTCACCTCATCAGCATTATCTATATAGTACATACAGATATGTATATAGGATTATATATAATATATATCATTTTAAGTTATGTAGTTTATTATATTGAAGACTATAATTTGGGTATAGGTACAAGGTACAACAATATTGTAGAACTGTAGTATCTGTTGCAGGTCTTATATAGATATAGATCAAATTATAAATTCATGAAAAGCGTCGCAATAATATGTATAGAAAAGTACACACAATAAATATATATTTACCATTCGAATTAGGATATTGTGCACATAATATAATAGTAATAATACAGCATAATATGCTTAATATGTATTATCAATGAGTAAATATATTGTGTATTTATTACATACTTAATAATGATTTATGATATATTTGAATATATTATATATAATTAGGTAAATACAAGTACCTAGGTTTTATTATATAGGTAAAACATTCATATTAGGTACCTATAATTATTTATCGCTCATGTCATATTTGCATACAAATTATATATATTCATTATAATAATTTAAATGTCTGACAAATATTTAAAACAAATGGTATACCTATAATTTATATATAGACATAATCATGGTTTTATCATAATTTAGTTAATTCCAGTATATTATATACATTAAGCTATTATATTATAATATATATTATTAATATCCGTATCCACTTATAATATGGTCAAAGTAAGGACACTACATTTATTTTTTGGTTAAGTACTGTTGTATGATAATATTTCCTATATAGATAAACAAATAAATATTATTTTGTTTATTTATATTTTTAACGATTACCTATTTAATGAGTATTCATTATTATGGCATTTGATTGACATTAATTATTCAATTATAATCATCGATGTATTCGATAAATGTATATTTGAAAGTGACACAATGAAAATATCTAATCAATTTACAAATTAAATGACTTGCATGCATTTGTAATAATTATTGTCAAGCCACTAAATACGTACTGTATGATATAAATTAAAATAATGTATGTTGTTAACAATAATTATTACTAGTAAATTATTACTTGAAATCACAAATATCAAAATAAACAGGATAATAACGAGCTATATAATAATATTGTTTGTACTATATTTAATAACACATTTAGTATTTACAATGTTGATAAATAATTATGAATATACTTTTTAAAAATGGAATATATCTATACATATGTAGCTATACCTATCGTTGAAATAATATATAGGTAAATAGGTAATCGTTTTATGCATATATCCTATACATAACCCCTGTATATCATCTAAAAGGATTCTCTACAGATGCATATTATTTTTTCTTTATCAAATTATTTGCTATTATTATATACGATATCTTAATTATTAGTTGCTTAAAAAATATTACGATCATAAATGATTTCAACAATAAACTTGCAAAATTGAACGATGTAGTTAAAAAACCCATCTGCATGCGATAGGTACAATACAGTACTGTAATAAGTGTCCAATGTATACCAGCTGGATGTGTTAAATTTTAATTCATTATTGATAAATCTTTTTAGGTACCAGTCTACCTTTATACGGCGAAAAACGTTTCTGAGCGAAGACAGTCTAACTTTTTGCTTTTTTTCTAAGCTACTAAACAATTTATTATTTTAATAGTATTATTACAATTGTAGGTTTTAGGTTTCTAAACGTAATTTAGATTACCTTATATCCCCGTTGTGTCCGTCCGTTTTAGTTGGGTTCCATTATTTGATACCTGTATAGTAGGTATGCATATAAGTTATATGATATATTATATTTTATTTTATGGTATAACTATAGTTAGGTACGAATTAACGTTGTTGATATATTAAGGTATTTATTTATCGCTACTGTGCATATATTGTAAATGGAATTATAATTTATTGCGTTGTACTAAATTAAACCGAGAATATAGCGTGCGTTCGGATAGTACCTAAGCTTTTCTAACTTGTTTAGGTTTCTAAACACAAGTTTAGAACAAGACCTTACCTATATATTATTATATCCTAGTTTTGTTCGTCCGTTCGTTAGTTAGCAATAAGCATAGAAAGTTACGATTGTTGATTTTGAGCTATTATATAGTCTATTAGTAAAAGTACTATTAGAATTACTAATATAACTGTATAAGTATTTAATATAGATTCAAATTTGAAACTATCCTTCCAAAATATATCATCAAAATATTAAGATTACCAAATTCGTTTTATATTCTATTGGAATTATAGTTTATTATGAGCTTATTGCATATTAAAATTCAAATGAAAGCCGGTATTTATTGAAACACTCATAGAGTGGGTTTTCTTATCTTGTTTTATTTGTTGTGTCCTATATTATTTTACTAATAATTTTCAATAATGACTTCTCAAAATCACCAATTTGATCCAATTCGGTACTATAGAAACATCCCTCAAAGTTAATGATTATAGCAAATTTTAGACTAGAAAAAGTATCTATTCATATTTCGTAAGCAAATATAAAAAACCACACATAATTGTAAAATCAATTCAATATGTCAATATATTATGGTTAGCTCGCATAAAAATCTAAAAAATAATCATATATTTTCGATTCCACAAAAATTCACAAAATATTCTACATTTTAAAGCACGTTTGAAAAAAATAATATATTGTATTGGTTTGGAAAAGTTTTAAAAGATATTATTATTTATTATTTTGATGATCACATAAAAAAGAGTTTGTATGATATTTAACTAATAGTTACGAATAGATAGACATTTGTACCTACTTATACATCGATTCCGTCGGTTATAGAAAATAAAAATACTGCAAACTGCAGTTCAATTATTTTAATCGATAAAAAAGTACCAAAATTTCCTCTATACCATTAATTGACCATAGTATTAAAAAAATGTCTTAGCCTCAAATATAAAATTATATACTTAAAGAATTATGGAAGTATTCATGCCTCATAAGGTTCAAAGGTTGCAGCAATCAATTTATGATACTATATATGCGTATTATATATACATAGCTGTACGCTGCTAACATTATAATGTCTATACTATTGCAATCGTGTACAATTTTTACTTTAATAATATCTAATTTTTAATATCTATTTTTATCATCGTGATTTTATTATGTAAAATGTTCCCAAAACGTTATGAAATTATTGTTATTTTATAAAAGATATTATACTAAGTACGTGTATGTAATCAGTTATGTATATATATTCAAAGAAAAAAATTACTAACACATTTTGTCTATATTATTGTATATATTGTTTAATACTATATAGTAAATACTGACGAAGAGAATAAAACTATGTTATAGATTCTACGATATAATGTAATTGCCGATCCACAGGGTATAATATTATTTATATATACTGAATCATTAACCAACCCTATCTCTGCCTCAATCAAATTCATCGTTGCCATCCATCTATACTCAACAATCAACATGTTATATCTCTCTCTATCATATAATCTAGTATTTAAGTAGCCTTATTCATATGACGATATTTGTAAGCCCGTTAAACTTTTAATTTCTATATTATTTAAAAATGTATACCTAATTTAACCTTGTGAATATCACCAACAAATCGCCACTGTTTCCACGGGTTTTAATTTATTTTTTTTTATTGGATTAAGGCTGTGTGTGTGTGTGTGTGTGTGTGTGTGTGTGTGTGTGTGTGTGTGTGTGTGTGTGTGCATGTATGTGTGTGATTTGGATGTGTTGCTAAGAACTTTTGTGATCACCCCTGCAGTGCTATAAACGAGTTATAAGAATAAGAAAATGTGATAATATTTACAGTCTCGTATTAAAGTATCATTCAAATTTTGTCGTCTGAGTTTTGTGAGCGACTGACTTTGTCACAAAACATGATAATAATAATGTGTTCGGGA